TTTAATTTCAACAAAAAGGTTAGAATAATTAATTTATTTATTTACAAAATTAATTTAATTAGAAAAACAACTAGCCTAATGTTTTTTTGTGATTTTTTGATTTAAGGTCAATTTAAATAAAAGAGGCTCAATAAAGAAATGAAAACAAAAATAAAAATAGAAAAAAGGAAGCATCCTTCGATTGCAGGGACATGGTGCCTTTCAATTCTATGAAGGGAAAGTTGTCTTTCGATTACCCTTTGATCTAGTGACTAGGTGTGAATTTCGATCCAGAAGGTGCTTTTGGAATTTCCTGATGTATCACTTGTAAGGGCACTACATCTGCAAACATGTTGGCAAAACGAAAAGCATGACCTGGGTGCCAAACCCATGTCTTTCGATTATGCGTGCGTTGGGTCTATTCAAGCTACATCTGCAGCAAGTGTTAGCAAAAAAACAAATGTAGACCTGGGTGTCGAACACAAGTCGTTAACTTTGATTACAAATTGAATGACTACAAGTATTGATGTGTCATGAAAATAAAAAGTTTGATATTTTACCCTCTCTTACCAATAGTTGGAACCTTTGATTTTGCACTTTCTGGATGTGGAGACACATGCTTAAGGGCTGGGGATGATTGGAAATGCTTCAGGAAAATCCTCCAAGAATATGTTTTTGATTTCGTATGATTCTCCCTCATGTTGTGTCTAGCCTCCTTTTTGCGTATGCATGTGGTTCTTTATACAGAGGGGATGTAGGGGACAAGAGAACAAAGGTTTAAACAACCATAAACAAATGTTTTCAAAGCCATGAATGATGTTTTGTAACTGTGGCAAAAAACATGGGATCTTGTCTTCTTTTGAAATTTGAATGAATGTGGACAATTTTGGGTTTTGAATACCTTCAGTTCTTATCCTTATATTGGACCACTCATGCATCCTTCGAATAGGCCTTTTGAATGTTTCTTCGAATGGACCCTTTTTTGTACCCTTCGAATGGTCCTTTGGTTGCCTCCTTTGACAAGCTCTTTTGAATGAACCTTCTGTGTATTCTTCGAATGAGCCACCAAGGTGTATCCTTCGAATGGCTCAAATCTCACCCTTGGGGTTTGTTCGATTGAATCCCTCTATTTTCCTTAGCTGCTTGATTCAAATAACCCACACGAAGACTTCATTCTGGCCCATCGAAGCTTCCTTTGTCATGAGGCTTGGTTTGGGCAGCATATAATCTTTTTCCCGGCAAGCAACTTGAACCAAGCCTCCTCAAAAGACAAAAAAGGTTTGTTTCCAACAAATGTGTCCTTCGTATGGACCAATGACATGTCCTTCGAAGGCACCATTTATGTGTTAATGTTGTGCTTGTGAAACGAAAGCAGGCATGAAGAGGGAACCTTTTGCCTTTTGAATTAAAGGCAAGTTTGGATAAGCGCTTTTCCTTGTGAATTGAAGGCAAGTCGAAAGGGGACTTTTCCTTGAACGAAGATGGCATGCAGGAATTCATTTACTGGTAAATCGAAACACACTTGTAGGGGTTTCTTGCTTTATGCGCTGAAGGCACGCACAAAGGGAGTATTTGCCTTGTCGAAGCATGAATCAAGCCTACTCCAAAGAAACCAAATCCTCAAACGAAACATGAATTAAGCTTGCATGCAGGTAGCCATTGCATTGTAAATCAAGCCAGCATGTAAAGGCAAAAGGTTCAATCGAAGGAGCACCAACATGAAGCCCATCCTTTCTGAATCGAAGGAAGTTGTTTCCAAGGAAATACATGCTCAGTCAAAGCTTGTATGCAGGAAGCAAGCAACAGGCCAAGGCTTCAATCGAAGCTTCGAAATTTGAAGCAAGCTCGGAGGAGGTTAGGTGTTCAATCGAAAACCGTCAAGATGCCAATCGAAAGACCCTTTGACATGCCAATCGAAAGACCTTGTTTATCTTCAAAATTTTGTTTTTTTCTTTAATCAAGTGCTTGTAATCACCCCTATAAGAAAAAATCTTGGAAAATATGAGAGGGAAAATTTTGGGGTACAATAAGAGGCTAAAAGGGTGTCGTCTCTTCTACTAGCAGTATTACCATTCCTTTTAAATGTTAACCATAACCATTCACCTTTTAACATATGGTGATGAAATGAATTAAAAAAAAGAAGAGAAACATACCACATGACAGTCAGTAAAAAACAAAGAGAAAAAAAATAAGAAAATCGCTTCCTCTCTTTTTGTTTGTGCAACCATTCTTCTTTTCTCTTTTTCTACATACCCTTTCTTCTTCATCCATGCATCCTACTTATGTTCAAATCACCAATAAACAAAACAAGCATATCATGAGAAAATAGAAAGAAAAATAATTTACTCCCTCATATAAAGATGGTGGCTGCTGTAATACGGTGGGGGAGAACTGATTTTTAGGTTTTGCATTTTATCGTAAGTGTTGCGGATAGCAGGAGTCACTGCCAACTTTTCTCTTATCCAATAAAGGAAATGGTGAAAAGAACAGGAAAGACCTTTTGATAATTTTCTGAGTAAGGGGGGAAGGTTATGAAAAAGGAAGGTGTTAGCACCCTTTTCATCCGTAGTTATCTACGGGCTCTTAATCGCTAGCTCACTTTTTGAAATGCTTTATGTTTGTGTATGGTTGAAAAATATTTTAAAAAATGCCTAAGTGCAGCAATTTTGTAATGATTCTCGTATCGTTGAGAATGTATACAAAATGTTTGTTTTTGAAAATATTTTTTGAAAGGAAGTGTTGTTTTTGAAAGTGTCTTTGAAAATGCCAATATAAGACAATTTGCTTTATAATAACCCTTGTATCAGTCTTCATGAGTTTTTATAAAGCATATTTTTGAAGGTGGTTGTTTTTAAAAGTGTGCGGTGTGAAAATTGTTTTAGTTTGTGAGCAAGAGATTACGAGCGATATACCTGCTCAATGGTATTTTGTTCTTTTCCTCCTCCATTAGATAGTGTTATCCTACTACTAGTTAGTAGGGAGCCCTATTATATGATGTAAGAGACAATCGCGGATCATCGTACAGTCATAGAAGGCAACTTGTAGGACGCTTTAGCAATTTTCATAAGGGACTAAGATCATTTACCGAAGGCAACATCAAGAGTCATTGAGGGACTACGATCTTTTAACCGAGGGTATTTGCTAAAGTGTCCCATATTCGAGGGACATGATTGTCTTATCTGAAGGAAACAAACGAGGTCACCCTAGAGGTGCGTGTGTGAATAGTGTTTTGATTTCAGTTAATTTATCTTGATTAGGGTTATCTACCGATTGATTTTAAATCTTTTCATACACGCCTAATTAATATACAATGATAAGTAAATACGGTAAAGTGCGGAAAATAAAGTTCTACGCTATTACAATGCTTTGGGAATGGGGGATACAAATTTATGAATGGGGATGACATAAGAAATAAACACCCAAACAAATCAAATCAAACAATACAAGTCCAAACTATTAAATAATTATTTAAGTTAAAACTCTTTTCATTTGATAAAATTAATTAATAATTTAATAAATAATGTCAAACAAATATTATTTAAAGTTAATAATTATTTAAAATATATTGATCTGTTTTTGCATCTTATATTATATAAAATAAAACTAAATAAATATAAATAATAAAATATAAGAGAAAATGTTAAAAAATGGGCATGTTTGAAGCAATCTGGGGGTGCTGAATAGCAGGAGAACTCCAGGCCCAGATAAAGGGTATCCAGTGATCCAATGTGGCAAGCCAGCATGGTGCACCGTGGAACGCAAAATCCTAAGTGCTGGATGAACATGATAGTGATCTAATGATGATCAAATGGCGGATGGACGAAGGGTGCATAATGGGATTTGATAGGATGCTTGCATAGAATTCATAATTAAGCAAAACGGACGATGACAAGTGTCACCGTCGTATTAGTCACAATAATCATGGTTTATTAACAAAGAAAATTATTAACACACAAAAACAAATTAAGCAAAACCAATACCAGTTTCTCTCTCTCCTTATATCTCTCACGCTTCTCTCTACCTTATTTTCTTCTCTCTGTTATTCACGGATAAACTCTTAAAACCCAGAAAAACAAAAGATCATGAGATCTATCACGGTGGTGACCAAGAACATGATGGAGACGAGTATGAAGATCACGGCGGAGACAATGAATCTCCATGACAGAGACAAAGAACATCGCGACAGCACCGCCGCAAATTGCTCTGATTCTCAATTTTTTTCATCGTTCTCTTCATCTCTCTCTTAATATTATTGAACTGTGACTTGATTTTACAGGAAACTAAAGATCTAGCCTAGATCTTGAAAGGGGTCTTTGAAACCCTAGTTTAGAAATCGATGATTATGAAGGAAATTATGATAAATAAAGGAGAAAAGAGAAATGAGAGAAGGGAAAGAGAAAGAAAAGATGCGAAGTTGCTGTGATTTGTGATTTACAACCTCCTGGTGAGATCTTTCTGATTTTCTAGCTTTATTTTCCGTCTGATTCGAAATTTTTTCCTCTTCCGCTCTTTGCTTTCGATTTCTGAAGGGTTTTGTATTAGGAAAATGATGATTGAATGCTTTAGGGTTTTTTGTTTATGGAAAATGATGGACGTCATAGTTTGTGCGTAGCTTCTGTGATTTTCTGAACAATACTTTCTCCCCTTTTTGATATCAGTGCAATGATTGTATTTATACTGATATGAGAATTTAGGGTTTTACTTGGTGAACTCAATGATTTTCCTTGACAGTTTTTGCTGATTTCTTTATTGGGTTTAAGCAATGTGTTTATGTTTGTGATTTCTGGAATCTGAATGTGTTTTTCTGAACTACTATGATGTTACTGAGTTATTAACAGGCCCGAACGATTTTTGTTTGAGCTTTGCAATATTTTGATATGTTATTAGTTTCCTCATTTCTCATCTGTGAACTTTTAGTGATATGTTACTATCTGTGAAAATTAGAAACTGAACGTGTTGGGCTTAGAAAATGCGATTTTGACTTGTAATTTTCTGAATACTGAGTTGTGAACTTCGTCTATTTAGGCCTTGAACCTGTAATTCTGACTTGCTGTAACTGGGCTGGTCTTGTGATTTTGATAACAATCTTTACTGTGAACTAAACTTTGTTTGTGGTTTGTAGTAAAGTGAAATGTTAGCCCATGATTATCGTTGTGCTTACTGATTTTTGCGTGAGATAAACAATATGAGGCTTTTGTATGCTTTAACATGATTGAGAAATAACCCTTTTTTTATTCCTATCTCAAGACCTTAATGATGAAATAACTGTTTGCGAAAATTCCTTATTTGTTGTTCAATTTTTGTGTTGCTTTAACTTTTATTTTCTTGTTTTCATGGACCATGAGGATTGGAAAAGGCAAGCTTGAGGGAGAGGAAGAAAGAGGTGGAAAGGACTTGAAGAGGAAGTCATGGCAAGATGTGAGAACAATAATTTTGAAAATGAAGCAAGAAGACTTGTAGAATTTGAAGATTGAAGAAGAATTCAAAAATAAGAAAGTTGTGGATTTATGATCCAAATTTGTAATTAAACTTGTAAAGCTTGAGAAATTGGAATTTTAATAAAGAACTTGTATTCTTATTGCAAATTAATGCAATACTTAGCATTTATAACTTCAATTCTACTTTGAAACTTTAAAACCTCTATACTGTTGAATTCGTAACCATAATTTGAAAGCAAATTCGAGAGTTCTACCTTGTTTGGAACAATAATGGTGTGATGATTTAAACAAAAGAAATTTGGCATTCTTGCATTTTTCATGACAAAACATGGAATCTAAGTCATAGATACTTGAATCATATTTATGCCTTGAAAAGCAACCTTGGAACCACAACTTTCCAATTTACAAGATTAAATTTCAATGGACATTTCTTGAGTGAAGCTTGAATGAATCGAAATTTGAATCATCTTTATTTTCTTATTTAAAATTCAAATAATGGAAGCAAATTTTGAGAATCAAATGAAGTAACATCAATTTGTTCCTCAATATAACTCTTGAAAAGGAATGAATACAAAACTTGAAAACTTGAATTCCCATGTGCCCAACAATGATGCACTCTAAAAGCCCAAAAGATATTCACTAGACTTTGCATCATAACTTCATCATTCGAACTCACAAATTGAACCAACAAGTAACCACAAATCCACTTGATTAAGAGGAATATTGAATAAGCTTTACAGAAGAAGGAATACTCAATGAACATGAACACAAAACCCTAAATTCTCAGCCCAAGATTAATGAAGAATATACTGAACATCCCTTGATAGAAGAGGAAATCCTCAAAGCCCACATAGACCCTAATTTTGACCAATGATGTCGCGAGCTCAAAACCTTAAGTCCTCAAGACATGAGGGAGAAACCCTTGCGCAAAGATGACTTGTATGATAAAAAGAAGATAATGCTTCATAAATATTGACCATAACAGGTGTCACACACTCAAAAGTCAAAACCCTAATACAAAACCAATGGATAGGAGAAATGTGATTCTCTTCACGATACTCACAAATCTTTAATTCTTTGATGACACAAAGAATTAATGAGATGTTTCAGATGTATTGAGGTATGAGAAGCCTTGGTAGCTTAAAGCGATTAGAAAACCTAGGAGTATGAAGGGATATTTTTGAATTAAATGAGAGGGAAAATTTTGGGGTACAACAGTTTCCCCTGTTCAATCTTCTTAAGCCTTAAAGTTAGATTGGTGCGTCCGCTATTCGTGACTTTAAGGTAGAAGATGATTGAACACTTAAGTGCCCATAAATTTGCACTCGCTTGTGCAAGAAGTAACATTGTTGGTTGATCGTACAAGAAATGGGCTTAAAGATGCCATTTGGAGAGTGATGGAATATCTTCGGAGGTTGGCTTATATATGCCATCCAGAGGGTGACGAAATATTGTCGAAGATGGTCTTATAGATGCCATCCAGAGGTGAAGGAGAGTTGTTGGAGACAGGCTTATAGATGGCATCTAGAGGTGATGGAGAGTTGTCAGAGACGGGCTTATAGATGCCATCCAGGATAACTGTTGATAAGAAAATCAGACTAACTCTACGCCGGACTTTGTCTTTAAAAGATGTCTTTAGGACGAGTATATGTCCAACTTAAACTAAAAAATATGTTGTAAACGAGTCTACGCCTGACTTTTCCGAAGGAGTATCAGAATAAATCTATGCTCGATTTAATATGATCAGAAGATGTATACGCCCAACTTCAACTGGAAGAAGTATCAGAATAAACCTAAGCTCGATTTAATCTGAGCCAGAAGATCTCTATGCTTGTCTACAGCTGGAAGAAGTATCAGAATAAATCTACGCTCGATTTAATCTAAGCCAGAAGATGTCTGTGCTTGTCTACATTTGGAATAAGTATCAGAATAAATCTACGCTTGATTTAATCTGAGTGATATGCTAGAATGAGTCTGTGTCAAGCCGCGTCTGGAAATGTATTAGAAGACAACTGTGTAAGGATGCTTCAGGATGAGCCTGTGTTAGACTACACCTGGAAATGTCTTAGTAGGAACTTTTGTAAGATTACTTTAGGATGAGCCCGTGTTAAACTACATCTTGATATATATTAGAAGGAGCCTAGGTAGGACTGCTTTAGGATGAGCCCGTGTGAAGCTGCATCTAGAAATATATTAGAAGGAACCCGTGTAATATTGTTTCAGGATGAGCCCCTGTGAAGCATCTCTGGAAATATATTAGAAGGAACCCGTGTAAGATTGCTTCAGGATGAGCCCGTGTTAAACTGCATCTGGAAATATATTAGAAGAAGTCTGGGTAGGGTTGCTTCAGGATGAGCCCGTGTGAAGCTGCATATGGAAATAAATTAGAAGGAACCCGTGTAAGATTGCTTCAGGTTAAGCCCGTGTAAAGCTACATATGGAAATATATTAGAAGAAACCCGTGTAAGATTGCTTCAGGATGAGCTCGTGTGAAGCTGCATCTTAAAATATATTAGAAGGAACCCGTGTAAGATTGCTTCTGGATGAGCCCGTGTGAAGCTGCATCTGGAAATATATTAGAAGGATCCCGTGTAAGATTGCTTCAGGATGAGCCCGTGTGAAGCTGCATCTGGAAATATATTAGAAGGAACCTGTGTAAGATTGCTTCAGGATGAGCCCGTGTGAAGCTGTATCTGGAAATATATAAGAAGGAACCCATGTAAGATTGCTTCATGATGAACATGTGTGAAGCGGAATTTGGAAATATATTAGAAGGAACGATGTAAGATTTCTTCAGGATGAGCCCGTGTGAAACTACATCTGAAAATATATTAGAAGGAACCCTTGTAAGATTGCTTCAGGATGAGCCCGTGTGAAGCCGCATCTGAAAATATATTAGAAGGAACCCGTGTAAGATTGCTTCAGGATGAACCTGTGTGAAGCTACATCTATAAATATGTTAGAAGGAACCCGTGTAATATTGCTTCAGGATGAGCCTGTGTCAAGCTGCATCTGGAAATATATTAGAAGGAACCCGTGTAAGATTACTTTAGGATGAGCCCGTGTGAAGCTGCATCTAGAAATATATTAGAAGGAACACGTGTAAGATTGTGTTGTACCCCAAAATTTTCCCTCCCATATTTGGCATAACATTACAAGAGAGGTCCTCAAATTGCTCAAGGAAGTCCAAGAGTTGACCAGACAAACTCTCTCCTAGGGCAGTCTACCCCAAATTAGGGTTTCAGTTTGCACCAAGATGTTTGAATCCAAAGGGTCCCAAATTCTCACTATTGTTCTAATATTTTCTCAAGATCATCCATGTCAAGTTTCAAGCCTTGCAGAGAAAGTTTGCTCAGTTAATTGCTCAAAGGCCTGAAAATCGATTATGTTAGGGTAAAAGTCAACTGTGGCCCACATGCAGTCAAACTTCAAGATTTTTGGTCAACATTATCATTTTGAAGTATTATTCATCATTTGATCAAGGGTTTATCATGATTCCTCAAGGATTGCTCACAATTCACCAAAACTCAAAAGTTGCTAAATTAGGGTTTTGTAGGAAAAGTCAACTCAACTTTTACCAAGCATAATTTTCTCACACTTTATCAGAAATGACCCATACAAATCTCATTTTGAAGAGGATATAATTCCCTACAATTCATATTCAGCTCCCAAGTTCAAAGTATGCACTCACAAGAAGATATAAATTTGGACATTATAGGTCATTTTGAAAAGTCAACACAAACACCTTTTTTGTCAAAGCTTCATACATGAACATGGAAGACTAAATTGAGATGATACCAAAAGGGTTGCTTATAGGACATCTTAAGATTTCGAAAAAGTCCAAGAACACCTCTCTAGGGTAAAAATTGAAGGAGTTATGCATTGGCAAAGTTGACCCTTTTTGCAAAATTGCCAAAAGTCAAATGTGGCTAAAATTGCAATTTTTGTCAAATGGGCCCAATTGTTTATGCTTGCATTGAGTTTGTAACATGACCCACGACCCATGATCCTTCCCACTTGGCTTTATTTTATTTTTGTCATTTATTTGGATTTTGTTTCAATTAAATCAAATAAAATCAAATAAAATCAAAATAAAATCATGAAAAATATCAAAACTAATCAAAGCTTAAGATTTTGTGCATGTTTAGGCCTCTTATACATCTGGAAGAAGAATCAAATCGTGCAAGATTCAAATGGACACAAAAAGATTGGATTTTATCAATTTGGAAAGATTTGCACAAAGGATCAAATCTTGAATCAATGATCATCATTGGAGAATATTTGAAACCAAATTGCGACCCTAATTCGTTCTAAGGTACATATAGAACAAGTGCGGATCAAAAGAGAGGGGATTGGAGGCGTGCCAAGGTGAAAACAACTTTCAAAAAATCAAGAAAAGTTGCAAACTGTTTTTTAGGTTCCAGGCTTCCTCAAGCCATTCCAGTCATACAAGTCGCTTCCTGGATGTTCTAGGATCCCATTCCAATACATAACAAGCTCCCTCAAGCCCAGAATTGCACTGTAAGCATCTCACGACATCCATGCTTTCTTGAAATCGAATATCACCACTCCGTCACTTTTAGCATGATTTATTTGCATATTTTGAATCCTTGAAACATTTGCAAGCTAATGGTAATACTTAATTGCGTTTTTATTGGCTATACAGCAAGTTGTCATATTTAGGGTTTTAGTTTCGTTTTTAGGGGTTTTGCTTGCAGGAACAATTAGCCATGGAGAGTGGTACCATGATGCTCGTGAGATCGCAATGAGCT